CTGGGCTGTTTTTAGGGGTTTCTGAGCTGGTTTTGGGGGGTTTTGGGGTCTCTGGGCTGTTTTTAGGGGTTTTTGGGGTCTCTGGGCTGTTTTGGGGGGTTTTTAGGGTCGCTCTGGGCTGTTTTCAGGGGTTTTGGGGGTCTCTGGGCTGGTTTTTTGGGTGTTTCGGGGTCTCACCACACTCCTTGAGGGGCTCATCGCTCCAGTCCCGGCAGTCCCTGCGCCTGTCACAGACCCGGCCCCCCGGAATGCACTCCCCGGAGCGGCACCGGAACCCCTGGGGGGGCTCACAGGGGGGGGCTGGGGGGGGGGGGGGGGGGGGAGGGGTCAGACCCGGCACAGCCCCCCCAGAGCGGCCACAGAAACACCCCAGAACCCCCCGAAAAAAACAGAACATCCCCCTAAAAGAACACCCCCCAAAAAAGAACCCTCCCGAAAAAGAACACCCCACGAGGCCCCCCCGAGCCCACCCGAGCCCCCCCGAGCCCTCCCAGCCCCCCCGGGCCCCCCTACCCTCGGGACACTCGTCCTCGTCGTCGCCGTCCCTGCAGTCGAAGGTGCCGTCACAAACCCTCCCCCCGGGGATGCAGCGCCTGTCGCGACAGCGGAACTGCCCGGGGGGGCACGGGGGGGGCGAGGCTGAGGGGGGGGGACACGAGGGGGGAGGGTCAGGGGGGTCGCCGACACCCCCCCCCAGGACAGCTCAGCACCCCCTCCAGTCCAGCCCAGTCCCTCCCCACCACCCCCCCTCCCCACGACCTGTCGCGACAGTGGGGGGGTCCCGTCACCCCCTCCCAGCCCCCCCCCCCCAATCCCGGTCCCATCCCAGTCCCTCCCATTCCCCCCCCGGGTTCCCCCCCCCGCACCCACCACAGCCCTCCTCGTCGGAGCTGTCGCGACAGTCGGGGGTCCCGTCGCACCTCCACGCTCCGTGCACGCACTCGCCGGAGCCGCAGGGGAACTGCAGGGGGGGGCAGGGCCGGGGGGCGCGGGGGGTCCCGCACTGCTCGGGCCCCTCGTCGTCCCCGTCGCGACAGTCGCGATCGCCGTCGCAGAGCCACAGGCGGGGCACGCAGGAGCCCCCGCGGCAGCGGAAGGTGCGGGGGGGGCAGGGAGGGGGCGAGGGGGTCGCGGGGCAGCCCAGCTCGTCCGCCCCGTCGCGACAGTCGCGCTCCCCATCGCAGGCGAACGATCGCGACAGGCACGAGCCGTCCCCGCAGCGCAGCTGGTCCGGGGGGCACGTGGGGGGGGGCGCTGGGGGGGGGGACACGGCTCTGTCAGAGACCCCCTCCGGGACCCCCGAAACACCCCCTGAGAGCCCCCAAACCCCCCCGGGACCCCCAAACCCCCCCGGGACCCCCAACACACCCAGCGACCCCAAACACACCCCCTGAGAGCCCCCAAATCTGTCAGGGACCCCCAAACCTCCCCGGGACCCCCCAGAGCCCCCCAAGGACTCTCAACCCCCCCCCCCTTCCCCAGGGACCCCCAACTTTCCCCCAGGACTCGGGAGGGCCCCGGGGGGAATCGGTCCCTTCCAGGGGGGATTTGGGGGGGGGGGGAGAAGGTGCCAGGGGTCCCATTTGGGGGTCCCGGTTCCCATTTCGGGGTTTTTTGTCCCATTTCGGGTTTTTTTGTCCCATTTCGGGTTTTTTTGCCCCATTTCGGGGGTCGCGGCCCCGCCCCTCGCGCCGCGCTCCCATTGGCTGCGGGAGGCCCCGCCCCCGCGGGTGGCCAGTCCCGGCTCGGCCAATGGGAGGCGCGTCCGCCGCGGGGAGGGGCGGGGCCCGCGCGCTGATTGGTCCAGCCCGGGGCTGAGGGGGCGGGGCCGCCCCGCCCGAGGGGCGGGAGGAGACACGTGGGGGGGGAGACACGTGGGGGGCACCCCGGGGGGGACACGGGGGGTCCTGGAGGGTCCCGGGGGGGACACGGGGGGACAAGAGGGGCCCTGGGGGCACCAGGAGGGACACGGGGGGTCCCGGGGGCACCGTT